CCTGCAAACAACAAAATTTCATTCTTCTTTATGGCTAAATAAAACTCCAGGAAGGACATTCCCTCATCTTTAAGGACACAGCAACATTTTTTTTCTTACAGCTTATTTGATAGAAGTTGGTCATGCAGCCAAATTTTTTTTAGAGGTACTGAGGTTTTGAAATTAGGGCATCATTCTTGCTAGGCAGGTGCTCTATCACATGAGCCATTCTGCCAGCCCTGTTTTTGTGTTGGTTTTTTTCAAGATAGGGCTCATGAACTATTTGCCTGGGCTGACTTTGAACCTTGATCCTCCTGATTTTTGCCTCCTGAGTAGCTAGGATTACAGATGTGTGCCACTGGTGCCCACCCAGTGCAGCCACACTTTGCTTTAAAGAATGCTGGGGAATTTGTGCCTTTTCCCTGGATTGCCATATGCCTTGTTAGATATCCTGCTACCACATAAGAGTGGGGGTTGTCAGACAGTAAGCAGTCTCTGCCTCTTCAGACCTACCACAGAGTTTTTGCAACTTGTTTTTTGTGTCTTAGAACTCTTAATGAATAGGGGCCTCATGGCTATTTGGAGGGTCATATTTTCTCATCTGCAAAATTTGGTGACTGGTTTATGATCCAGTTCTTTGGGACCAGTATTTATGTGATACTGTGATCTCCTAACTCCTTCCTATTTCTTTCAACAAGCTCTCAGCCCTACCTAAAGATCTGCTTTCTGAGCCTAGGAAGAAGTGAAAACCAGCATGTATTGTCAAGAGCAGTATAGGTCTCAGATATTCAGTCTGTCCAGTTGTGGGGACCGTTGTTTTATCTGAATGAAAGAAGACATAGAAAATGCCCATTTGGAAAACAGTGAAGACCAGTGTCAGGGCAAAGCAGAGAGGGCCTCCTTGCAATGATTAGTGTCATGATCCCTGACATAAGACAGTTCCTATGCAAGGAAATAAAGGAAACTTCTGCCTAGGAGTCGGAGCTGGAGCATTTGGATTATGTTAAGAACAAATATTTATTGTTCCCCTCCTTTGTGCCAGATTTTGTTCTCTGGCTGAGGATAATGGTGTTGAACAATATCAATATAGACCCTGCTTCTTGGAGCTACTAGAGAAGACAGACATTTAAATAAAGTATCATCATTAAATAGATAAAAATGTGCCAAGTACTGAGAGGTATAGGATGCTGTGATGGCACACACAGCGATGTGTGATGGCAGGGAACCTGCCTTATTTTAGATGGTCAGGAAAGGCTTGCTTCCCATTAGAAATGAGATTTGAGCTGACATTCCAGTAACAGTTCACTTCCCCTAGAACCAGAATGGAGTCATTCTAGATTTAAAGAACAGCATATTCAGCACATGGGTAGAGACTAAGGGAAGGGAGAGAATGGGTCTGACAAGAGGAGTGATGGTGAGGGTCAATCACCATCTTCCAGTGCACAACACTGGAGGGGTCAGAGCTGGAAGGAAGAGCGGTTTACACTATCAGGGTCAGGGAGTGAGGAATTTAAGGTTGGACAAATCCAGCGGCTTTTAGTGGCTCATTTTGGAATTTCGTGGGGAGGGTATTCTGTTACATTTTGTGGGGAGTGCCACAAATCCTGCAATGTATAGGATAGTGCTGCCTACTGAGAAAATTTGTAGACTTTCAAACGTCTTGCTGGACATTCATGTACATGAAACCCCTATTGAAAAAATTACCTTAATCTAGAACTTAATTTTATTCAGGATTAATACAATATATTTTCACAGTTTTAATACACTGCCAGGAATATAACAACTGTGTAATCAAGAGAAGATTATTGGTCTGAGCCAGATGGCTTACAACTGTAATAGTAGCTACTTGGGAGGCAGAGGTCTGGAGGATCCTGTTTTTAGGCCAGCTCTGGGCAAAAAGTTCAGGGGACTTAATGTCAACCATTAAAAAGCTGAGTGTGGTGGTGTGCACCCGTCAATCCAGCTACATGGGAAAGGTCACCGTTCAGGCCTGCCAGGCATAAACTCAGAGATTCTATTTGAAGAATAGCTAAAGCAAAAAAAAAGGGCCGGGGTTGTGGCTCAAGTGGAGACCTGGAGTTCAAAACCCCAGTACCACCAAACGAGAGAGAGGCATACAGACTTTTAAATGTAAGCTATTATTTATGAGTTTCATGGTAGGAATAAAGTGGACATTATGAAATATTTATTTTAAAAGAGGCACTAAGACTGACAGCATTCATCTACTGCTTCAGTCCACCTAATTGCACCATTCTCTGCTTGGGCCCCGCGCTGGACCCTGATTCTTCCCTCCCCAAGTCCCCTAAGAGTAACCGCCCTTTTGGGCCAGACTGCAGGAAGGGGACAGAGGGAGAAGGGCACGGATTAGGCAGACAGGACTCCGGCCATAGAGGGAGGGGCAAGAGCACCACCGAGAGGGAGAGACGCCGCTCCTAGAGAGGCTCCGGCGCGCGTCGTGACGCACTTCCGGCCGCGCCGCTAAGTTGCCGGCTGCTGAGGTAAGTATGGGGCTGCTGCGCTGGGGGCGGTTACCTGGCCTTATGGCACTTGGTGCATTTGGGACGCTGGTCCACCCTGGGTGGAACTGGGTCTCCCTGTCCAGTACTGTGGGGGCCGATCCCGGGGGAAGGAATACGTAGCCGTTGCCCGAGGTCCTCTTCCGCTTCCCGGCTCCGGCTTGGGACTTGGTGGCCGGATATGTGCCGTCACACACCAGGCCCTCGCATTTAGCGTTGGATCCGTTCGGGGAGAATATTTGTGAGGTCGAAGCGGCTCGAGGAGACATCGCAGGGCTTGTGACGAGTCGAAGTCGTGCAGGGACTTTAGTCTGCATGCGTTTCAAGTTTGGACTGCGTGCTCCCCAGCTCCTGAACTGAATCAGGGCGAATAGGAACACAAATTGCAGAGCCCATCCCAGCCACCTGGAGCCGAAGCCCGGCCTGGGGCGTGGTCTCCCGGAGCGAAGTCAGTCCCTGAGGAAAATTCGGCCCTTTTCCTCTCGGGCTGTGTTGTGACAATAACGTCGGGATGACTTCTACGGTGTAATTATGAATTTGCTGTGCTCTAGAACACACGTAATAGTTCCAGAACTGCTAATTCATATCCTCATAGAAAACAAATTTGCTACCTTAGAGTATAGTATTTGGATACAGGTCTTTTTTGTCTTTAGCCTTAAAGTATTTTCAAAGTACCGTTTTCCAAAGTTACTTAGTTTTCCTCCCCAGTCTCCTCAGTTTGGTTGCAGTATAGTTTGGCTCATTTTCTTCTGGTTGATTGTATTTGAGAATGTAAGTCAAGTGTGGTGATACATATCTGTAATCCCAGCTCTTTGGAGACCGAGGTAGGATCCATAGTTCAAGGCCAGCCTGAACTATGAGGTGGCTGAGTGGCTATAAAATAGGAATTAAAATGTGAAATATAAAAACTTTTGGAATGTAGCTAATAGTTTATCCAGAGGGAATTTTATGACCTTATAGGCTTTAATTGCCAAATAAGAAATTAGGAAAATAAGCAAGTAAGTCATGCAACCTTAAGAAGGTAGAAAAAATTTTAAAGTTTTTTGTAGTGTAGCTTCTCTCAAAAGCAGAACATGGGACAAAGATTTGTTTTTAAAAAATTTGTTCATGAATGTGGTTACCCAGATAGAGTGAAGGACAAAGGGAGTAAAAGAAAAAGGGAAAGTCTGTTAAGGGAAACACTTTAGAAAGATTTTTAGAGTTCAGTTGAGCAAAGAATGATTCAGTAATTAGGCAGCCCCTAGAACTAGGACAGGTTTAGTCTCTAGGGGGTACCATGTGCCTGGGTAGCATAGAACATAGACAGAAAAAGGGAAATGCTTTCAGAAGAGAGAAGTGAGGCACAGAGAACTCAGTTGATTAATAACCTGGCGTTTGCCTTATTTGAACCTGATTTACTGGAGTTTGGCTGCTGTGGTTGACTGAGACTCAGCTACATGTCACAAAGGTAGACTCCTAAGTTAGGTTTTCAGTTTATGTACTGAGTTAGGTTGCAGCTTTATACACATAAGGACTTAGGTGTGTGAATAGGGAGGCTTTCTTAGGCCAAATTAGTTTGATTTAACAACCTGATACAACAATGCATTGTCAAGCTTGGCCTTCAACAGGTTCTGTCTTGCAGGGTCTTTGAGGAACCTTGAAGTCTCAAAGATGCTCTTCCCCCAGGGCAGGGGGCACTAATGGAGAGAACATTTATTTGTTGGCTTCTGTCTCCTATTAATCAATGTTAGCCCCACAAGCGTTAACTCTCCTGCACTTCAGAGCACAGCAGGTGTCCCTCACAGAATGCCAGAGAAGACCCAGGGTGGAACCAGGTATATATAGTGTAGGTTCTTGTCAAAGCATTGGTAGGGTGTAACTTTGCAAAGCTGGTCAGTGGCTCTGTGGAACTTCAGAAGGCCACCACCTGACATGTTCTTAATCAGACAATATGCGGAGGCCTGGTACCTTAGTTCTAGCCCACCTTCCTCAAGGTGAGGCTAGGCCACACAGGAGGCCAACCTGTCATGGAATCCAGAAGCATTAGGATTTTTTTTTGTTTTGAGACAGAGCCTCACCGTGTAGCCCAGGCTGGTCTTGAACTTAACAGTACTGCCTCAGCCTCTCAAGTGCTGGAATTACAGATGTGCACTACCATGCCTGACAAGCATTAGGATTCTTGAGAATACTCAGAACTCTGAGGGAGCAGGCAGGAGGTGGGGAAGCAGCTGCCCTTTCTGCAGGTGCTATATCCCTGAGTCCTGACTCCCCAGGCCAGTGTGCTGGGGCTCCTGCTCAACCAGCCTTCTCTTACAGTATGATCAGAATGCTTGTTTACAGAAAGAGAAATAAGTCAACGATTTTGGTAATGTGCTATCTGTTGAACTGGATTGTTGCTACACTGTTGTTGTTTTATTATTCTTTAGGTTCTGTGTGCATTTTATAAACACTCTTTTATATGAGTATCAGAGCATCATTGTCTTAGCTGGGAGGAGTCCGGGACTTTGAACCAGTGAGCAGATCATTCCCTTCTTCCTGGGCAGATATTTTCCTGTTCCTGTCTGGACACTGGCTGCCTGTGCCTTAGATCTGTGTTGTTCCTGTAGTTTGCCTCACATTCTCTCTTTGTTTCTCCTTAGCCAGCCCTTCCCTGAGAAGGAGACCAGGTGATGGCAGCTATGCTTTTGACATCTTGGCCCCAGGTGAGCATGTGTTCATTGGCTTTTTTGGGAAGTTTCAGATTGGAAGCTGGTTAGCCTTGGGATGAAAGCTGTTCCACATGCCAAATTGGGACTTGTGGGAAAGTGGGTGCTGGGGTGGTAGAGACTGAGACAGTGACCAGTGGAGGCACCAGGAGAACAAGCCCAAAGGTGAAGGCACAAGAGTCTCTGCTTCTCTGAAGAAATGCCCCCAGCAGAGGGCTCTGGTGAATAGGACTGTGGAAGCTGCTCTGGTTGGGTGCATCCTGTGCTTGGATATGAATGGAAGAGTGTCGCAGAGGTTTGGGATTCTCAGTGGTAGGGGGTCAGAGAAGAAGAGGAGCAGGACCAGATCAGCAAGAAGAATGACTGTAATTAGAAGGAAAGGGGAAGATGCTGGGAAGTGGGATCAAGGGAGAGAAAGCACAGGAAGGATTTGGGTATAGTGGTTTAGACTTCAAATTTCTGGTTTTTTTTTTTGTTTTTGAGACAGGGTCTCACCATAGCCCAGGCTTGCCTTCAACTCACTATATAGTGATCTTCCTGCCTTGCCCTCCTGAGTGCTGGGATTATAAGCAAGGACCATCATACCTGACCAGACTTTGTATTTCTAATAAGCACTTTCAATCCCTCTGCCCTCAATAAACCTCCAAATCACATTTTCCATTCACTTTCAGGGTCTTTGTGGACCCTCTGAGGCTTATGTGGAATTTTACTTTTAAACTCCACTCTCTGTATTAGGTGCTGTTAGGCAGGGCCTAACGCTGCTGTTAGATGTTAGCTAATAGGTGCTGTGTTAGGTACTAAAAAGAAATGGAGGCAATGGGAAGTATTGTGCCAAGGTCACAAAGTTATAGTGTGGTTCATAACTGCTCATCTGTATGACAGCTGTGCAACTGGGGAGATTAACTTGATGAGATTTGCAAGAGCTGTGTATGGAATAATTTTCAGGGGAGATTTAAAAGCAAGACAACCATCCAGAAAAAAATTCCACTGGTCCAAGTGATGTGGGCTTGTTGTGGAGGGTTCAAATTCCAGTAATGCCTGAGATATAAAAATCCTTAGGGCATAGAGACTCAAAGGACTAGGGGTTGAGCAGAGACGAATGGAGTCATGAATGATCCCCAGGTTTCTAGCTGAGGGTTCCTGTGTGGATGCTGCAGATATCAGCTGAGGATTGAATTCAGGAGGAGGTGCCAGCTTATTGGGGAAAGGGTGCTGGTGGCACATAGGGATTATCTTTAATTTTGTGCAGAGAAATTACTTGTCCAAGGTCACACAAAGAGGACTCAGAGAAACTTTTACCCAGAGGTGACTAGAATTGCTAATGGTTGGAGCGCTGGAGGGTGAAAAAGACAAATCCTGGCAGAGGGGTTGAGAGGCAAATCCCTGTCTGTGGGATTTAGTGTTGAGAGGCAGTTTCTCCCAGTGTTGTTACAGAAAGCTGAGCTGGGCAGAGCAAGAGCCAGCCAGAGCTTGCAGTGGCCCAGGAGGGAGCAATTGGGCCTGGGAGTGACCTGCTGCATCAGCCCTGAGTAGCAGAGCTTTTGCTGACCACATAGCTTAGTGACAAAAGAGAAGCCAGAGGGTGGCAGAACAGTTAGCCAACAAGAAGCCTAGTTTATCTTCTTTCTCAACCTTGGTGAAGCAATGAATTCTTGGGAGAAGTTGGGAAGGATGAGGCTTGAATAGGAGAGGGTATCAGAAAATGCTGGGTACTCAGAGACCCTGACTGGGGTGGCACTGAGCTTCCTCTGCTGGCCATATTGGAATAGAGGCCCAGAAACCCTGGCTTGTGGGGGGGATCTGCAATGGGAGTCAGGTGGCAGGTGAGAAGGGAGCCAGGGCTATTCTTTGAGGGTGGCTTGCCTTGTGAGATTGAAGACGAGGTGTAGGGAGTAGACTTGGGCTGATGTTAGGCTCAGGAGAACCTGAGAGAGGCTCAGCAGAATGCTTTAGGGGAACTTGCTTAGAGGAATTTTTTTCTTTCATTTCAGTTTATGGTGTCCTTTATAAGTGTAAAAAATGGCATGGTTTCTCTGCTATGAGAGAAGATGGATATTCCATGTTTACTTTCCTAGTGCTTTTTCTCAAATCCTCCTTGTTATTAATTTTGTTCACAAGCTGCCTCCCCCAGCCCTTATACTGCCCTCTGCCCCTCACTTAGGGCCTGAGCCATGGAATTGGCCCTAGGGCAGCAGGAACCTGTTGTTTCAGAAGTTGGTGACCTTTGAGGATGTGGCTGTGTACTTCACCCAGACGGAATGGGATGGCCTGTCCCCTGCACAGAGGGCCCTATACAGGGATGTGATGCTGGAGAACTATGGGAATGTGACCTCTCTGGGTAAGGCCTGTTTCTCCCTGGGACTCAGACTCTGCCATTTGGGGTTTCCTAGCTCCCTCCTCCTTGACAGGTTGCTGGTGGGAATTTTGTAATCTTTTATAAGTGGGACCACCAGGGTTGTTCCTTATCCCCTTGATGTAGGAATTGCTAGGAAAGGCAAAACCTTTTGGCAACAATAAAGGACTTCACTAAGACCAATATTCATTTTTGATCTGTCCTAGGGAAGCTTTGTTTTAAAATAGTAACTTCTTGTTTTACAGAGGCATCTTCAGGTGCCCCCTCTCCTTGCTGTATCTTGAGTCCTTTTAAGGATCTCAGTGGGCTCTGAATATTTCAGACCAAGGTCAAAAAGTAGAGTCTCTTTGGGCAGACTCTTTAGCTTGCTCCATATTCTGTCTCCTGGGCTCACAGCCTGGTCCTTCTCTTCCCTGCCTTCTACCTTTTCCAGAGCTCTTCCCTTCCCTTTACTGAGGTAGTACAATAAGAGGTTAGGAACTCACCAGTGGGTGAATTATTCATGTCTTACCTATTTCCTTCTCTTAAAGCAGGATACCCACTTCTCAAACCTGCTGTGATCTCACAACTGGAGGGAGGAGATGAGCTGGGGGTCTCATTGCAACTGGCTGTTGGAAATGGATCAGGCCCCCAGGGCCTCTGGAATGGTAAGGGAGGCATATACAAACATGCCACATTTATTGGCCGGCAATGCAAAGTAAAGTGTTTGTTCTTTTTTGTGTGTGTGTATGCACTGGGGGTTGACCTCAGGGCCTTGGAAATAAATTTTGATGATTTATAGAGATAGGTCTTTTCTGTCTGTTTTCAAAGATTTCTATAATTATGACAACAGATCTTTTTTCAAATGCCTTATTCTAATTCTTTTCAACACAAATTTTGGAATCCCATCTTTCTCAGACAAAATTAATGAATTTAGTAATTTTGGGGGGCCTTACCATTTTCTAAGCATTTTCTACTTAATGTGAAAGATAGATCATTTATAGCCTTCTTATCCAGAAGTCAGAATGGCTAAAAGCACAGCTTTTAGAGAAGACTTTCTTGAGATCTCATACTATTTCTAGTTGTGTGATTTTGAGCAGGTCATTTATTTGAGATCTCTAAGATTTAGTGATCTCATCTCTGAAAATGGGCTAATGATAACAAAAGGAGGCAAAGTGCTTATCTTGCAGGTTGAGGATTAGGTGAGATAACCCATCAAGTGTCTAGCATAGTGCATGCTCAATTAAATATTTTTATTTTGAGGCCTGGGGAGAGAGCTGTACATAGCAGAAGTAAATAGAAAGTCCCCCCATTTTTGTGCTTCTCCAATGTTGAGGTATAATAAATCACTTGGGATTCTTATAAATGTGCAGATTGTTAGTGAGGAAGTCTTGGGCCCAACCAAGAGTCTGAATTTCTACTCATCTTATGTGGTCTTTAATCAAAGATGTTTGAATCTCATTCTATAGGTCCTGATCAGATGGCCCTGAAGTCTTTAAAGTCTTTAACGTCTCTGAGCGTCACATCACAATTTTAGCTGAGGGTAGAAACATCAGTCTTATCCATTTTTGTAGGTTAATTGGAGTGAGGAATCAAACAGACTCTAGGCAGGCAGAAGGGAAAGGCAAAGGGCATGAGGTCCATGTCAGCAGAATTGATCATTTTAGAAACTTTCTCATAATCCCCACTCCATGACTTGGGTTTGAATTTCATTTGCTGGAACTGTATCCGAGGCATCCTCACTGTAGTAGAAGGTGGAAATTTTAGTGTTTTGTTGGGTATTTGCTACTTCAAAAAATAAATGAAGGAAATAGGCTAGTAAATGGAGAATAGGTATTGCTGTCTGCCACACCATTGGATTTGATAAATGGAAGATTATTGGTGCAGAAACATTGGCAAAGACTGTAAGTGGTCGATCCATAATGTCAATCAATGTGAAAATGTCTACCCTTGGCAGAAACCAAAGAGGTATGAATTAAAATAATGAGAGAGAGATGGGTTGGGGGCATAATGGTAGAGCATTTGCCTTGTATGCACAGTGCCCTGGTTTTGATTCCCAGTACCATGAAAAAAAATCATTATAATGAGAGCTAATTAAGCTGTCAGAGAATCTAATTTACCTATTGGAAACAATTAAATTACATTAAGTGTTGGTAAGAGATAGCAAAACAGGAATAGACTTCTGGAGCTGGAGTGAATTCAGTATGAATTGATAGTCTTTCTAGAATAAAAGTTTGTACTTGGTAACCTGAATATTCTCTTATAGGGCTATACCCTAGTAAAGTAACCAAAGCTATAGACAAACATGTATATGTCCAGAAGTTTATCATACAGAATACTGGAAACAATCTCAATTTTAAGCATAAGGACAATGGTTAAATAGAAATCCCTCTGTGGGATGGAGAAATATTTAACAATTTTAAAAAGTATGTTTTTGCAATCTGTCTAGTAAAGACATTGGAAAATAGTCATCATGAAGTAAACAAAATAATTTCAATTCTGAAAAAGAATTACAATTATTTTTAAGAAAGTGATTGAAAGGAAAATGATTTGGGAAAGGTATATGACAGATTAGCAGAAGTTACTTTTAGGTGGCTTTATTTCAGGTAATTTAAATTTTCTTCTTTGTAAGTTTCTGATACTACGTATGTCTTAGTTTAGATTACCATAACAGAATACCATAGACTGGGTATTTTATAAACAACAGGAATTTCTTCCATTTCTGGAGGCCAGAAGTCCAAGCTCAAGGTGCAGAGAGATTTCATGTCTGGCAAGGGCCTGCTTCTTGGTTAATAGGCAGCTATCAGCCATCTTCTTGCTGTTTCCTCATATGGTGAAGGGGAAGAGAGTTCTCCAGTATCTCTCTGTCTCTCTTTTTTTGTTTGTTTCTTTTTCTGGTGGTACTGGGGTTTGAACTCAGGGTCTCATGCTTGTTAGGCAGGCACTCTACCACTTGAGCCACTCCTTCAGCCCCAAGTTCTTGCTTTAAAACACACTAATTCTGTTTTCTGAGGGTTCTACCAGAGGCTCCACTTCCTAATACAATCACATTGGAGATTAGGATTTCAACAGATGAGTATGATGGAGTGGACAAACATTTAGTCTATAGCAACAGATGGATATTACTTTTTTAATTGAGAAAAAATATCATTATTTTGAAAATACTTTCTAGAGGAATCCAGGTAATTTGGATTTATTGAGGACAATTATAATGAAATATTGAAGCCTGGGGCATACTTCATGTGGTTAAAGAGAGACAAGAGTTGAAAAAAATAGAGGCAACATTTTTGGGCTAACCTTTTGAAAAAATTGGGGACAAATGGAGCGATCAGTAGCTGTAGAGGTTATTGAAATTATATTATAAAAAATAATTTTAGGGAATGATCAGTTTTAAGATTGGGGAAGAAGTTGAGGGAAAAGGCAAAGCTAGTACAGCAATGTTCTGGAGGGATAGGAAGAAATGGGATCAAATGGCCTTCAGCAGCCTTTCTAAAGGAAGTTAAAGGGGCAGTTTTGAAGAACCTAGAATTTAAGTTCTCAGGACAGAAACAAAATTGCTTTTTGGTGTTGCCAATACCTGTCATCGGTTGCTGCATGTTGTTTGATCCTGTAGCTTTTTTTCATAAGCATTTTCTACTTGCATTAATAAGGAACTCAATGCCATAGGGACAACTAAGAAGAGATTGTAGACTATAGAAGAGCATGGTGTGATGGAGAAAATGCTGATCTGGCAGACAAGCCCAAGAATTTTATTCTGCTGCTGTCACATTTAATTTCATGTTATTTGTTATACTCTTTATAATGACATTACCGTAGGCAGAGTGTGACTGGTGATCTTTTCTATTTATTATAGAAATATAATAAATAGAACTGACATATCATCGGAACAGTGCAGAAAGTGTTTAAGAGTGTGTGGGGGGGTCTCCCTAACTTCCTGTGCCAGTTTGCTCAGTTTCTTGTTTATCCTTCCAGAAGTCTTCTGACAAATGCAAATATATGTACATTCTGCCCTTTAAATTTTCTTTGCACAAAGCGAATCTCCATCATATATTCTTTCTCATTTTTCTTCTTAACCATATCTTAGATGTCTTCTCATGGATCTCTTTCTTTTACCAGTTACATATTATTTTACCTTATGGATAAACCTTATATTCTTTGACTTAATCTTTGTGATTCTAAAGAGCCCTATGATTATTATGGTCCTCTATAACACAGTTATTACATGTTGTTTTATGTTTTCTATTTTTATAGTAGATATGGATATCCAAACTGGCAATAATTTGACAAAGGAAATGTGTGAAGAAAAAGATAGTACATCATTTGAACTTCAGAGGGACTTTTCTAAGGAAGCAGACTTTTCAGAAACCTCTATGCTAGAGCAACAACAGGAAGTGTACTCAGCAGGATGTATGAAGAACGAAAACAGCATTGCCACTGGTAAGACAGTGAAAGATGAGATAAGACCCATGGAGGAGTGTTTTGTTAGTCAGAGTCAAAACTTGTTTCAGTATCATACTATCTCCACTGAAGAGCAACACCTTCATTGTACACAACTGGAAAAAGCCTTGTGCTTTGACACCAAGATTATTAAACATGAAATAATTGACACTGGGGAAGGTCCTCTGAAATGTGAAGAATTAGTGGAAACCTTTAGATGTGACTCTCAGCTTAATCAGCATCTAGAAAGCTACTCTAGGGAGAAACCCTATCGATGTATGGAGTGTGGCAAAGCCTTCAGTGTTAATGCAAAATTAATTTGGCATCAAAGACTTCATAGTGGAGAGAAACCCTTCAAATGTGTGAGTGTGGCAAGTGTTTCAGCTACAGTTCCCACTATATCACACATCAGACAATCCACAGTGGGGAGAAGCCCTATCAGTGTAATGTGTGTGGGAAAGCCTTCAGCGTTAATGGGAGTCTGAGTAGGCACCAGAGGATCCATACAGGAGAGAAGCCCTATCAGTGCCAGGAGTGCGGAAATGGCTTCAGCTGTAGTTCTGCATACATTACACATCAGAGGGTCCACACTGGGGAGAAACCTTACCAGTGTAATGACTGTGGAAAAGCTTTCAATGTTAATGCAAAATTAATTCAGCATCAGAGAATCCATACTGGAGAAAAACCATATGAGTGCAGTGAGTGTGGGAAAGGCTTCAGGTGCAGCTCCCAGCTTAGGCAGCATCAGAGTATCCATACTGGAGAGAAGCCCTATCAGTGTAGTGAGTGTGGAAAAGCCTTCAATAATAATGCAAAACTCATTCAGCATCGAAGAATCCACACAGGTGAGAAACCCTATGAGTGCAATGAATGTGGAAAAGCCTTTAGTGTCAAAGGGAAGTTAATCCAGCACCAGAGAATCCACACAGGGGAGAAACCTTATGTGTGTAATGAGTGTGGGAAAGCCTTTAGGTGTAACTCCCAGCTTCGGCAGCATCTGAGAATCCACACTGGGGAGAAGCCCTATGAGTGTAACGAGTGTGGGAAGGCCTTCAATGTTAATGCAAAATTAATGCAGCATCGGAGAATTCACACAGGGGAGAAGCCCTTTGAATGTAAGGAGTGTGGCAAATGTTTTACTTCTAAAAGAAACTTACTTGATCATCACCGAATCCATTCTGGAGAAAAGCCTTACCAATGTAAGGAATGTGGGAAAGCCTTCAGCATCAATGCTAAGTTAACTAGGCATCAGCGAATCCATACTGGGGAAAAGCCTTTCAAGTGTATGGAATGTGAGAAAGCATTCAGCTGTAGTTCTGACTATATTGTGCACCAGAGAATCCATACTGGAGAGAAACCCTTTCAATGTAAGGAGTGTGGGAAAGCCTTCCATGTGAATGCCCACTTAATTCGGCATCAGAGAAGCCACACTGGGGAGAAACCTTTCCGATGTGTGGAGTGTGGCAAAGGCTTCAGTTTTAGTTCTGACTGTATTATACACCAGACTGTCCACACTTGGAAGAAACACTATGTGTGTAATATGTGTGGAAAAGCATTCAGGTTTAGCTTCCAACTTAGTCAGCATCAGAGTGTCCATAGTGAAGGAAAATGCTAATAGTGAGAAGGATGAAGAAAACTCTGAAGGTTAATGCAAAATGGATCATATATTCTCAGAGTCACCCTGGAGGAAAACCCTGGTAGGACAATGAGTATGGCAATCTTCACATGGAAATATATTTTCCTGTTTTATTCAAATTTTAATCAGGAATGGATGACCAGTTAAAAGTTAAAGCCAAAAATAAATGACTTTTTATACCAATTACCAGTCAAGAAATGAGAAAATCTCCCATTCTCAGAAGCATAAAAGTAGATTTTCTAGAAATAAACAATAGTTTTTGTCAGACCTGTATGGAGAAATTTGTATTTCTCCACTGAGGGCCACCAAAGGAAATTTGAATAAATGGAGAGAGAAAGAAACCTATTCTTGGATAGGAAAACCTGTATCATAAAAATTTCATTCTACCTAACTTAATATATTTCTGTTTAATTTTTGGCAACAGGCATGCATTACTTTTGTAAAGAGACAATAAAGATTTCCTTTAAAAAATGAAAAATATTTTATTTCATAGAATAGTGAAAATATTTGAAAATACTAGATGCAAGGTAGAAACCAACAGTAAGAGAAACATTGATAACATTTATTCAAAGCAATTATTTCTCTGTGTTTTTATTGTTAAGGATCCCAAATAAGGTTAAAAGGTAATGCACAAAAAGTGAAAATACCTTTGTAAATATGATGTAAAAGTGTAATATCTATAATACCTAGTACACAGAGAAGTTTTAGCAGTTAGCAATTTGATGAAAACCAACAAATGACACAATAGACAGCTTTTTAAAACATAAAATGACAAAGAATGAAGAGCTGTTCAGCCTCAGTAGTACTCTTGAGTGAAGAATCAGATTTTTTACATATCACATTGGGTGTGTGTGTGTGTGTGTCCGTGTGTCCATGTCCACATGTGGAATACTATGCATCCCTTGAAAATGACACTTAGTATAGATGCTGTTTATGTAAGCATAAAGTGCGTTCAACAAACAAGCCTGTTAGAGGGATCCTGCACTGTAGTAAGTGGAAATTCTCCACAAACACGGCTCAGGAGGGAAGTGTCTGCCTTGGATTCTCTTGGTAGTGGTTTTCGAAGTCTCTGGTTCCATGAAAACCTTGAAATTTTCAAGATACTTTCAGTCTCCAAGGCCTTTAAAAAATTCTAAGCAACTAGGAAGGACAGCTGAAGCTGTCAAAAAGCTGAGGAACAGCAGGCCCAAGAAGAAAGTGACAGGAAAGGACCAGAAAGACCAGGTAGGCAAGAAACAAGGACAAAAGAACTTCCCCTCCCACAGTACTACCTACTGTGAGGACATGACTCTTAGCACCATCACCTGTGATCTCTTGCAGGGCACATTTTGTAGCCCTGGGTCCCCAAGGCACATTAATACTGAAGTTAGCTGTGTTTAGTTCTGAATGAGGTCCAAAATAACCCATTTTCTAAATGTGGAACAATTATGTAGATAGTTGAGCTGGGAGCATCTTCTTTTTGTTTTTCAGATTCTCATGTTCCAGGGTCTCCTTGGAGGCCACAGGTAAAAACAACAGGAAGGTAAGCCGTTGCTGGTTGATGACATTGCTGTCACCCAGAAAGCAACTCCCCAAGGTAGCCCCATAAGCCTGGAGTTACTCATGTCTTACAAATGTCAAATACAGTGACACTCCTCAGAATGACAGTAAGGAGTTGTAAGGGTGGAGGACTGAAGAGTGAGTGCCCCACCTACGGAGACCAGCTTCTATTTAGGTATAGCAAGCTGTTTTTTTAAGTTTTTTATAACATATAACTCATGAAATAGTGCTTGTGTAAAAGTTCACACAAAGTTGCTACAGAGCATACAATTTCCAAAAATGCCCTGGGTTTTTGTTACATTCAGTTTTCTAAAGATGCACTAAGATCAAAGGTAAATGCAGACATTATGTGATATTTCACAGTGTTTGCTAAAACTACTCTCATTATTTGTCTCCTCACAGTATTGACTCTGATACCCACTTTTTGCAGGGTCTGCTCTACTAGGATGTCAGGAAAATATTAAAGCTGGAACTACAAGCAGAAAGGACTTCCCAACAGCAGCAGCAACCCCTGGGCCCCACCCCCACTTCCTAGTCAAACAGCTGCACTGCCGGTCAGGATGAAGGCTTCCTGCAGACATTTGGCCGGGGGGCGGGGGGGGGCAACACTGAAGGGGAGGGGCATACTACCACTAATGACACTAGACAGCTTTATTCCCTGTCTAAGTCTATCATGTAGACATGGCCACATGAACTGAAGCAGGATTTGAGCACTTGGTATATTCATGACTATCTTCGTACATTCTTAAACAACTTACTAACAGAAAACCATGACCACTACCACCTACTGTGATTCACTATTTTACTTAACAACAGAATGTGTCTGCAGCAAGCTGTTTTTTGAGAAGGGAAGAAGGTCTTGCCAAATAGGATGTTTTTAGTCAAAATTGGGATTTTTAAAAATAATCTCCTTTCCTCTCTCCCTCATTGAGATTAGAATTTATTGTCCCAGAATTCTGGAAAACTTATCAAAAGCCCATTTCTAGGTGGTGAGTTTCTATAAACAATCTATTCATGGACACCTGATAGAGACAAATGAGTAGAGGAAAGAGGGTCATCACATTTTTTTTCTATATCATCACCTGTTCAGGCAATAAAGAACCATCACCTCACAACACTGCTGATGCAAATGCATGGATTTCCACACCAAGCAGGTCAATTTTCTGAAGACACCAACTAATTGTCCTACATCTTAAATCAATTCATCTTAACAATACTTAGGAAAAAAATGTAGACCCACAGGTCAAGGGTTCAGTTGCACAAGGCTGTCCCCCACTTCAGTCACAAGTATGGTTTGCCAGGTTACCAACGGTTCTGTCTTGGCTACAAATTAAGCCCCTCCTTAGTTTGATAATTTCCTATATTTCATACAGTAAGGGAAACACTCTACCAGTTGTTAAAGATATTGAGGGTACACATAGGGAGCCAGATGAAGAGGAACTTGGGCAAGTCCACAGGGGTTCCAAGTTCAGGAGCTTTTGCCCCCATGGAGTTTGGGTGCACCACGCTACTAGAACATGAATATTCACCCCCAAAATTTTGAATCCCATTGCTTAGGGTTTCTAATTGAGATTATATTATGTACCCATGGCGGGTGAAATCATTAGCCATTGAAAAATCAATCTTTCCTTCCCAGAGGTCAGAGCGTGGAGCTGAAAATTCCAATCCTCTAAGTGTGTAGTTGGTCTTAGAGGCTCTTCTGCCACAACAGAAGAATCAGACCAAATATGTTTCATATTATGCCGTTGGCAACATCTATTTACTTGGCTCTCATGCTTTTTTAAATTGCTGTTTTGTTGTTGTTCAGTGTTAGCTGAGATAAAATGAAGATCTGGCAAAATGAATGCCATCTAAATTCCATTAACACAGACATCAAGGTTGAGCGATGCAGAGTGCCAGTGGGGTTTTCTCCACATGGTTGCATCTTTTTCTGAAATGTCTTCTTCTAAAGATTGTGGTAAAATACACATAACATAGAATTGATCATTGACCACTATAAAGTGTACAATTCAGTGGCATTTGGTGTATTTAAAATGTAAGATGATCACTATCTAGGTTCAGACTTCTTTCGTCATCCCCAAAGGAAATTCCATACTCATGAAACAGTTACTCTTATTGTCCCCATCTCCTAAGCTCTGTAAACCACTAATCTGTTCTTTTATGGGTTTTTCTGTTCTGGGTATTTCATATTCAAGAGCAAACAGTATGTTACCTCTTGTGACTGGCTGCTTTCACTTAGTGTCATGTTTTCTAGATTTATCCATGTTGTAGCATGCATCAGTTCTTCACTTTTGTGGTTTGTACTTTTGTTGTCATAGTAAAGAAACAATTGCTAAATTCGAAGTCATGAAGATCTGTCTTGTGACTTTAATTATTTTATAGTTTTAGTTGCCATATTTAGGTCTTTGATTCATTTTGAGATAAATTTTGATATGCAAGAGTCCAACCCCTCTTCTGTATGTGAATATCCAGTCGTAGATATTTCCACCTCCTAATATCACACTGGTAATTGGGTTTCAACACATGAATTTTGGGAGGCCATCCAGACCACAGCAATATGTATATATTCATAATTATTATATCTTCTTGATGAATCAACACTTTTATCACTCTATAAGGTCCTTCATTGTCTCTTGTAACAGGTTTCAACTTAAAATCTGTTTTGTCTGTTATTAGTATTAACCATCTCATCTCTCTTTGGGTTACTGTTTGCCTGTAATATGTTTGTTTATCCGTTCACTTTCAGCCCATTTGTGTTTTTGGATCTAAAGTGAGTTTCTTGTTGTCAGCATATACTTGTATTACTTTTAAATCTATTCTTCCAATCTTTGCCTTTGATTGGGTTATTTAACTCATTTTCGTTTGAAGCAATTACTGAAGGAAGGACTTTTTTCTGCAGTTTTGCTATTTTCTGTTTTTTATGTCCCCTCCACTACCACTTTATTTAATTGACTTTTTAAATAGTGTATCATTTTGATTATTTTTCTGTATAAGCTTTAGGTTTTTCTTTTTTTACTGCTTACCTTGGAGATTGTAATTACTGTATTTATAACAATCTGGCTTGAATTAATATTAAATGCTATGGTTTTGATCTGGTTTAAGTGTATCCCTCAAAGGTTCAAGGGTTTGAAGCACAGTCCCCATGGTGGCTATGTGGGAAGTGATGAAACCTTGAAGAGGAGGTGCTGCTCTGTGAAGGAATTTGTATAGGAGGAAGTGAGGGCAAACAGGGAGCCATAACAGAGTGTGGATCTCTCCAGAGGAGTTCATGCTACACCCATGGTTAGATTTTTGCATGCTGTCTCTTGTGGCCTGAAGAGA